TCCAATTCACTTCCGCTTATTCCTTACGCTTAGATGCTGATATAGATTGTACGCGCACAAGCAATGGATGAAAAAAGTAAATTGACGTTAGTCTTTGTTCCCTTTTGAAATTAGATTTCAAGAACACTTTTCATGCACCTATTTTCTTTTCCTACAGGTAAACGATCTTGGACCTGCCTACTAGATCGTCATCTACGCATGACTGTTCGCACAGACATATTTTATCATGTAAATTATCGTACCATTATTATACTTTATTTCTTAATAATTGCTTTTCGAGCATCTATATGCGTTGCTACGGGCATGTGTACACTGTTCCCTCATGTCACTTAGAGTACGCACAGGGGACCTAAGACAATTTCTCGTGGTATATTATATCTGTATTGTTATCCCGTGCGATTGCAGATGAAAAAAGCCAGAAACAGTAGGGGAACAAGAATAGAACCCTGAGGCACACCACTCAGCATCGGGAACCAGTTAGATACTCAACTCTAACTGACCGTTACCCGGTGTAAAAATAATCTTTGCACTAACTTAGTTACTTTCGGTGTACACTTATAAGCTTAAGTTCCTTTCACCGAATATCCTGATTCAACCCATCAAAAGCCTTTAAAAAATCAAGCAAACAAATGTTTCCCGATTCCTGAGCTAGAAAGTTTGCTGACTCGGAGTAGGCATGGAGAGTATGTGGTCCTGTGTACTAAGTGAGCCAATACTCTTTCATTTAATCAGTAAGCACAATACCCCATAATTCCCCTGAGGAGTTTTACACAGATGAGCCTGACAGTCTACTCTGTCATTTGGGATTTTTATGGCACATCTGTTACAGATGTCCTTGTAATTTTGCCAGTCTATAGAACTGTTAGTGACCTTTCATCGATTCAACGAAAACCACTTACGTCGTATAAGGTTATGGGTGCCTGAATAACCCCAGGAGAGTAAAACTTGTCGGTTCTTCGTAGAGTCAGTGGACCAGCAAGTTTTACTTTTCTTGGGTTGAGTAAAGTACGCCTAACACTATACGATATGAACAGTTTTCTTGGAGTCAGTTTAGGAATTAAAAACGTTCATAGTATCACAAAAATTTCAATTCTCCTGGCTTCCACGTGAACGTTCAGGAAGTGTAACTGCAGCTATCGTCTTTAGAAACTACAAGTGACAGTTTTTGTGTGGTTGCACCGAAGAATCACATACATCTCTTTCTAGATTTATCGTCATGGTGGGGTTATACTGATTCCATATCATCATGAACCCTCTGTATTATCATACAAATAATTCGAAAGCTGAATTCTCACTCCTCATACGTCAGCTATTTCGGGTTCGTTTATTCCAAATGCCCAATGACCGGATGAATTCTTAGCTCCTCTTCAACAATAAGTAACTCAGAGGCCAACAGATGATCCACTGCATCCCCTAGCAATGCTTTATTGAGCTGCGGTGTTCAGATAACACCGACAGTGTTTTCCTGTAGTATACATACAATAAATCCGTCGCGCAGCACAAATGCTATGAAGCATGCACAATCACATTCTGACCAGGTCAGACAACTCGACATGCTGCACAGCAAATCTAACAACTTAATTAAGAAAACCAACCAAATTAAGACACTAAGTGAAATTTACTGCCAAAAATCTCGTCTTACAGACTATTTGAACGAGATATTGACCACTAATGTCGGCAACGCCACACTAAGTTTATATGATAACATGTTGTTTACCGGCACTCACCACAAGGCTGTCACGACTCATGAAAACGGTGAACAAGATGTCCTGGAAGTCCACTCGACACATTCAAACAAGTCTATTGCTTCTGGATGTTGGAGTTGAAAAAATGAAGATATTTGACTCCCGATCGTAATATTCATCACCATTATGAATCCTTGATGTGAAATGGTATAAACATACATGAATTATACACTTCTGGAATCATCAATGAAGTACAATAAATAAATAGCTTGTATATACATTCCTCATAAACGTTTTACCATTATCCCAAGCAAAAAGTACAAACCGTCACAATGGAGGTATTAGTTTCAAGCTTTATTTTTCTCCAGGAAGTGCGTGTAATGTCGAGATACAAACCTAGTTTTTTTTGTTGATGTGAAGACAATACTTCCACTTATCCAACTCATAAATTTTTGCATATTCATCCCGCTGGGATGTTTATTTATATAAACATACAGTATTTATATCGTCTGGTGCCAACAGGTGGGGATTGAGATTACCTGTCATACAGATGCACTTAATTTATATAGTAACTTATTCATACCTGTAAAAATGGTGTGCCTGTATATTCAGGAATATATATTATAATCATTGTTAACTCTGAGACGGCACAGCGACCATCCAGTTTGTCTGAAGGTTGACATAACCACTGTGGACCAACCAGAGTATAGTATATTCAGCCTGGAGCAACCAACGTCACGATGCCACAAACATGAATACACGATGAAGAACCCACAACCTGTTGCGCAAAACTAACAGCTTGCAAGGTTAATCTTTACGTTCAATGAATAAAAGCTGATGAAATTTCCGATGGGTACTTGCGTTATCGAAGCCTTAACCTTCTGTAAGCAAATGAAGAAAAGGGGTCATGGTCAGAAAGAACGGATGAAAGGCCACCTCCACGGTTAAACTCCAACAGAAAGAAAAGAAGATGAGACCAAGAAAACGAATTAGACACATGCTCGGTATCCACAAACTTGTGCCCCTGGGAACCCACTTAGTGTTCTTAGTGTTAGAAATGTTGTCCTCGCATCATTTGGTTATTTCAAGTTGCGTTTTACCTAGGGTTACTTGTCAGTCAGAAATGGTAAGGTAGATGTGACTCTGGCTCTAGCGAATAAAAATTCATGCTTAGTTCGAACTTACTATTGACTTACAACCCTCAATTACCAATAGTTACAGCAGCAGACGCTTCAGCACATTGGATTGGCACTGTTATCCTCCATGTGTTCTCAGGCGAAAATGACGAAGCGATGTTAAACGCCTCACGAACAATTCCCGACGCGGATGAACGTTACGAACTGATAGAGAAAGAAGCCTTAGCCTAGTCTTCACGGCACGAAGGTTTCACAAACTCGTGTGTGGACGTCAACTCACCTCTCTGAACGATGATAAGCCACTCCTCTCCATCTTCGGTAACACATCTGGGCTATCTTCTCAATCCGCAGCGATGTGCTCTGATTCTTCTTGGTCATGATTCTGAGATGCAGTATTGACGAGCAGAGGAATTTAAACAAGCGGAGGCTGATAATAATTAAATGCGAAGAAATGACCAGTGATGTGGGAATGAAATCCATGTGGTGAATTGTAATCTTGGCAAAGAAATATCAATGAAATATATCTGCAAAATCCCAGTGAGGTAGAAAAATAAACTTCTGACTTTCCACAACTTCGGGAGAATCGTTTATTGAGAGAATAAAACCTGTGCAAGTAATTGAATGTTTAAATATTGACTTTGTTGATACCAATCACAAAATAATTTCCCGAAATCGATTCCTGTACCTTACTAGACTTTTTCATATCGATACACTTAGTAACTTTTTATAGTTTCTTACGAATAAATCACCATCATTTCGGAATTGCATAGAGTCATTCAAATATACTGTGATCGCGGTTTAAGATCAAGCAGGAATAGACACTTATTTTTTTACCTTCGTTTGAGGCTTATCAGATGGAAGCATTATTTAAAAATGTTGACCGTGGTATTTTTGTTTTTAGAAACAACCCAACCACGATAAATATGACAGGCATTCATCAACAACTGCTTACGCTGGCTCGCTACTGAAGATCAGATGGCCAGAAAGAATAGGCAACAAAGAGCTCTGGGAACGAACCAACCAAGAACCTATCACGCAACAAATATGTAGAAGGAAGTGGAGATGGATTGGAGTCAGCATACACTGAGAAGGCCGACTGGGGACATCACGCGTCAGGCCAGGTACTCGAGTGGAATCCCCATGGGAAGCGACGAGTTGGACGTCCGAGGGTGACATGGAGGAGATCGTGAGAGGAGGAAATGAGAGATTGTGGGCTGTCGTGGAGCCAGGTTCAAAAGATTTCAGAGAGCAGAGTTCACTGGAGACGTGCTAGTGAAGCCCTATGTTCCATTAGGAACTCAAGGGACTAATAATAATAATACACATTTCAGAGTTGATCATAGTCTGCAAAAACATAGTTGTGTTTTCAGTATAACTTACGGCTAGTCTCCGAAATGTACAAGTACGATAAAGTTGACATGAACAAGTCTATAACCTTACATTTCGATCACTTACCGTAAGTATAGAGAATACTTAATGAGTTATTCGCTGCTGGAATAAACCTGAGGTGCACAAGAAGGACAATAATCATACCATATTTGATATACGTAAACTGCTAGCCAGAAATTTCAAAAAACTTCGGCATTTTGACCATAACATGCAAAAAGCCAAGCTTTTGTAAACAGTTCTTGGACGGATGAGAGATTCGTCCCACCATCAGTAATCGAATATATATATAACTAATATAACTGAAATGTATGGAAATGTACAGATGTCTAATACACTGTATACTTCACTGCATCTCACACATGTCATTGAACCCCCAAAAAACAGCTTTTGGTTGAGAAAAGGTTGACGTTTTGAGGTAGAAGAGGTGACTGAAACGTACATATCACATGCAAAGCCATACGATTTGCCGTATTGCTCGAAGCAAAACCATGGTGGATAATATCAAAACAAAAAACCTACCCTTTAACACTAATTTTTGTTCTGAGTTGTAATCGTTGTATGCACTGACTAAATGGTATCGTAGGAAGTGGCAGAAATCTATGTTTACGTAAATAAAGAAAATTTGTCAAAAAGTCACGTAAACAGCAGTTACATGAACTCCCATTAAGCTTTGTAAATATGAATATTCTATTCCTCTCACGCTTCCGTTCTTTAATCACTCATTTTCTCAATAGTTTCTAAACTGTTGTGCAAAGGAAGATAAACTAAACGCTTGAAATAACGTATTGCTAGCTACTTTCTTTTTCAAACAGTCTGCAGAAAACGTCGTATAAAGGAAAGACACAAAAACCAAATTAATTACTCTTCAGTCAGTAAAAGTGAGACCTAAACTGTAATGATTAAAAATCCACTTTCCCCTGTGAACAGTCTCTTTAGATAAAATAAACACAATGAAAAGCCGAATGAAGAGATACTCAAAATAAAATAATTTATCTTTCAAAATCTTAAGATTTACACTTATTTTGCTTATGCATAGACCGATAGTATTCTTTCAGAGTTATACCAGCTGCCTGCAAACGAGATTCAAATATAGCTTTTTCATTTGGCCTTTGGGACCCCTCATTGTGTTTGTGGTTCTTTGCTTTTAAGTGTTGTTCTGGATTTTCCATATCGACTTCGTCTAGTTCGGCCGAACGTTTGCTCGGTTCAGTTTCTTTAATTTCCTGTCCGTTGAGTTTCGCTTTCTTCCGGCGACGTCTGCGTTTCTTCTTGGATGATGCACTAAAAAAAGGAGTAAGACACGAAACAAAAAATAGAGATCTCGAAATCTGGTTGACAATAAATAAGCATTAGGTTTCTATAACATAGCAACTTTTTTAGAGCATGATCAAAAAATAGCATTTAAAGCATTCGCACCGCCGGTGATCTATATCTAATGTCTTGTCTCACAAACTCGAAGATCTACAGGCAAAAACCAACTAGTTGACAGAACAGACAGGGCAGCGAAGACGGGACTTCAAGTGAACATAGAGAAGACAAAGGTGTTGAAGATACCCAACTAACAACAGCAACAACAACAAACACCAATCACCATCAACGTGAGACAACCAAAGGAAGTAGCCTCTTTCATCTACCTACCTACCCACCTACCTACCTACCTACCTACCTAGACACCATCGTTTCAACCACAGGCAGCGGTGACGGCACAGATGACGACATCAAAGCAAGGATCAGAAAGACAGCAAGACAAGCCTTCCTGTATTAATCTAAAATCAGTGTGGAGATCTACTGCACTCAACTCAGCATAAAGCGTGAATAAGATCTGGATTCTCAACACCCTTGTCAGTCAAGTCAGTGCAGTGCTGCCATGTGATGGTTGAGAAATTTGACACGTCACAAAAAGCATTCCCAACAAACTACACATATTCATCAACAGCTGCCACCTACGCTCACTCGATACTGACACTGAAGATCTGATGGTCAGAATAGTAAGAATAAGCAACAAGGAACTCTGGCTAGGTGGCAACGAACCAACCAACAACCCATCACCCAACAAATATGTAGAAGGATTGTGCATACACTGAGGACACCATTCGGGGACATCACGCACCAAGCTCTCGAGTGTAATCCATAGGGGAAACGACGAGTTGAGCGTCCGAGGGTGAGAGTGACATGGAGGAGATCGTGTGAGGAAGAAATGGTAGCTTGTGGACAGTGGTGGAGCCAGTTTGAAAAGACTGCAGCGAGCAGAGTGAAATGGAGACGTGCTACTGAATCTCTATGTTCCACTAGGAACCCAAGGGACAAATGAGAAATAATAATAAAAATAAGTCATTCGTAAGACAGTGTGATTACAAAAACATGAGCCGAAGAACTTAAGTTTATACTTTTATCTGCATATGTTGTAGATAAAATGACTACATATAAAATCATTCTACAGTCACCGAAATATTGAAAGCTATAAACGTCGTATGGTTCAAATAAACACTTTTATTACTTTGTGATAAGGGGACATGGATGATTAATGACACCTACGAGAACTTACAGGTTTCAATAAGCAAACGGAAATAGCAGAGTGAACAAAAACAAGCAAATAGTGAAGATTTCATCGTCTTTCTACAAGACATGATCAGCACTAACTTCAGTCGGTTGTAAATCAGAAGCTTAATTCATCTCATTAATAAAAACTTTCGTACATTTGTGAGTCGTAATTTTTCATTAAATTCGAAGAAATCTATCCAGAAAAAGGTAATTATACGTAATATGAATTAGTATGATTCAAGTCACTTAATTTGAAGATCATTTATATGAAATGGCTGTCAAGTGCTTGCTACTTTACACCACTTTGTGAAGAAAAATATCTTCATACTAATCGATTCGGATTATAGACATGATTCATGTATAAAAGGCATTTAAGAAATTTTGGCTTACACCATAATTTAGTATGTCAATGACTTAAATTTATCTAAATTGAAGGATACAAGTTAATACTGTATGAAAAAAATACTGTAAGAAACGTGGAGTCTTGACAACAAACAGAAACATGATATCCACTCACCAAACTTTGAAAATGAATTTGTTTATGGTGAATAAAAAAAAACTAGATATAAAATGTAACAATATTCAGATTTTTTTCAAAACATTTCATTAGTCAGTAAAATGTTCGAAAACCACAGTCTAAATTTGAAGGCACTGAATCAATGGTAAAAAGAAAGAGACATTTTGTAACACATTAAACACATTGTCTATATGGATTGTGATTGAACAAAGCCTTTCAATTATTTCGATTACATAAATCCCCAGAAAATGCACGTTTATTAACCGATCAATTTTGAATACAAATGCAAAAAAAATTCTTGAGTTCACATAGTAGCAATCCTTCTCACTCAATGAAGGTGTGTGTATATGTTGTTTACTTAACAACTGATTCATGTTACGGTGTGCTTTCGAGATTTTCACTTGCCGATAAATATCATCTCCATAAAATGATAGTTGCTGATTTACTACAAAGTAAAACATTTAAATACTAGCCCCATGTAAAAAGGATGATGAATCGAATCTAAAAATACCAATGAAAAAATAGATACATATATATTTCATACAAACAAAGTAAAATAATTTCACCTTTCATCATCTCCATCTTCTTTTCCTTAGGCCACCATGTTGCTTCAGGACTATTTAAAGAATTTAGTATCTGCTTTTTACGTTTGATTTGATAATGAGAACTATACAATTCTTTGTCTCGCATTTCCTCATCATTTGATCTATAAGTAAAGATAATTTTAAAAGGGATAAAAAAATTACTATCAAAAAACTCTCAACAAGTGGTTACGCTGATCTGAGTGATTGAATTTTCATCATTAAAAAGACTTTATTTGGTACTTTTACTATGAAAATTTAACTTGTTCAATCCTAAAATAAACACGTTTCACATTCTTGTTCACTGATATAAACCCAGTATCAATACAAATCTGCCAAACCCCACAGCTATCTCATTCACATAGTTAAAATGATAATCAATATGATGCTTTTTCCTCTTTAATTCAAGATTTGAATTGGGGTGAGGAGTCCTGACTGGGCGGTCAGTGTGAATATGATCAAGCTACGGTGACGCATCATGACATAACATGGCAGTCTGGAAAAACCCTTAGCGATTGAAGTGAATTAAAAATCTGGTCATCACTCAGGTCTCGTAGTTCAGTTGGTAGAGCATCGGGTCGAAAGACCGATGGTCAATCGTTGCAATCCTTCCACTGCCCAGATTTTCATTCACCTTCAATTATCACCACTATGACAAAAAATTGTAAACGAAGTGATCAGATGAAATAAGTTTAATTTGCGATCGTTCTGGATAATTTGTGATACTGTTTGACTGAATCATTACGAAGCGCATTTTTAAAAGATACAATAACTGAAACCATGAGCTGAATAAAACTGAAAATTCAATTTGAAGGTTTGTTGGGGTTTATTCATTGATTTCAGACTGGTATTCACCATGGACTGACATCTGTCGGAGAAACACTGGAAACGCGGGAACACTAGACGGCTGTTTCATTCTAGTGTGGCACTCCTCAGAAGTACACAACCATGACCCCGCGCCACAAGGGATCGAACACAGAACCTTCATGTTCCGCAGCCAGCACATTACCATTGAGCCACTGGGCAGGAACCCAATGTTCCATATTTCCTACATATTTCCTACATAAGAAAAACAACTAACTAATGCCTCATCGCTTATAATAATTTTGTCGACTGATATTCACTACGAATGGGAAATATCCACCAAAAACTACGAAACCAAATATAATAAGTCTTCGGAAAATATCCGGGCAATAGTAAAAAACATTACAAAATACTTTATCACTTAAGATACTACTAGCGAGATCCATTTTTAAATCAGTTCATTTACTAAGTTTTATTTCACCTGGTTCACCAACCATCGCTACAAATAACATCCGAAACAACTGACAGCACATTCAAGTATTAGCATTTATACGCTTCCTAAGGACAATCAAAGATCACTTTCCATCACAAAAAACATCATCGTACCTTGCAAGTTACAGTAGAGGTGCCTTAGTGTATGACATGTCAAGACCTCTGGAAGCCGAAACAACTTACGTTGTGTCAGTGAAGTACTGGAATATCTTCTATTTTCCAATATAGAAGTTGAAAGGCGATTATAATTTAAACAACAAAAAGTCTTAAAATTATTATTAGTCCACCAGTTTCTAGTGGAATATAGGGATTCAGTAGCACGTCTCCATTTCACTCTGCTCGCTGCAGTCTTTTCAAACTGGCTCCACCACTAACCACGAGCTACCATTTCTTCCTCACACGATCTCCTCCATGTCACTCTCACCCTCGGACGCTCAACTCGTCGTTTCCCCTATGGATTACACTCGAGAGCTTGGTGCGTGATGTCCCCGAATGGTGTCCTCAGTGTATGCACAATCCTTCTACATATTTGTTGGGTGATGGGTTGTTTGTTGGTTCGTTGCCACCTAGCCAGAGTTCCTTGTTGCTTATTCTTACTATTCTGACCATCTGATCTTCAGTGTCAGTATCGAGTGAGCGTAGGTGGCAGCTGTTGATGAATATGTGTAGTTTGTTGGGAATGCTTTTTGTGACGTGTCAATTTCTCAACCATCACATGGCAGCACTGCACTGACTTGACTGACAAGGGCGTTGAGAATCCAGATCTTATTCACGCTTTATGCTGAGTTGAGTGCAGTAGATCTCCACACTGATTTTAGATTAATACAGGAAGGCTTGTCTTGCTGTCTTTCTGATCCTGGCTTTGATGTCGTCATGTGTGCCGTCACCGCTGCCTGTGGTTGAAACGATGGTGTCTAGGTAGGTAGGTAGGTAGGTAGGTAGGTAGGTAGGTAGGTAGGTAGGTAGGTAGATGAAAGAGGCTACTTCCTTTGGTTGTTTCGCGTTGATGGTGATTGGTGTTTGTTGTTGTTGCTGTTGCTGTTGTTAGTTGGGTATCTTCAACACCTTTGTCTTCTCTATGTTCACTTGAAGTCCCGTCTTCGCTGCCCTGCCTCTTCTGTCAACTAGTTGGTTTTTGCATGTAGATCTTCGAGTTTGTGTGACAAAATATTAGACATAAATCATCGGTGAAATCGAAATCTTATACGTTTTCCTAATACAGATATAAAACTTGGGCACTGTGGTAGGATTCCATTCCAAATTAGATTTGTTCATTTATTCGTCACACTGTGATATAGTATTATTCACTTGATGACCTTTCGAGCATAAATTATTGCTCATGATCACATCAATGTGATCACACAACTTTCGACATTTGATTTTTATAGTTACATCACCTCATATGAGTTGTTTTTATTGGTAGTAAAATCTTCCATATCTGTGGTATAGGTGTTGTGTAATTTCAATTACATGTGTTGAGAGTTAATTCGATTGGACTTAAGTACAGTGTCTTTGTTCCACCCTATTGTGTGGTTGTATGTGAATGCATGCAATTCAAAAGCCGAATTCTTTTCTCCAGATTATTGATCTTATTCGGGTCTGTCATTCTACGTTTAGCTATTCTAACCGACCCCAACCGGCTAGTTTGACCTACGTACTTGACCTCACGGTCATTACATGGAATTTGATAGATTAGATTATTTTGCTTAATTGGTTCTATCGTATCTTTAAGCTGACAAAGCTTATCTCTGAGTTAGTTTGTAGGTTTAAATGCCATCCACCAGCTTTGTTGAGGATCCTACGTAAAGTTTCTGATGTACCTTCTCTATAGGATAACACAATGGAGGCTGCGAATTTTCTACTTGTGTTGTCGTTATTATTCGTAGTAGTGTTACTGTTATTTTTTCGTTGCTTGTGTGTTCGTACGAATTTCTTGATAAACTCCGGAGAATAGTTACTAACTATTAGTGCTTCTTTTAAGTGTTTCAATTCCTTGTTTAGGTCCTTGTACTGACTAGTCAGTTTTCTAGCTCTATCACTTAGACATTTGACTAAGCCTGCCTTAACTGACATTGGGTGGGATGACTTGAAGTCTAGATATCTGTTAGAATGTGTCGGTTTTCTGTAGACGAAAGTATCTAAACCACCGTCTATCCTTCGTTTTATCTTGCAATCCAACATAGGTAATTCTTCTTGCTCATTTTCTACCTCATACGTGAATTGGATTGCGCCTACTACTAAGTTTATATGTGTGAGCAAACTGTCCGTATGTTCCGATTCCAACACAGTGAATGTATCATCCACATATCGCCACCATATTTTGAGTGCAGAACTAAACGTTTGTAAAGCCATGTTTTCTCAACTATCCATACATATGTCTACTACAATTGAGGATATTGGTGGTCCCATTGCTACTCCTTCTGTTTGTCTGTATATTTTGTCCTGAAACTTGAAGACTGTGGAGGTCAGGCACAACTATATATAGAAGAGGATGAAAAATAATTAGCTTCGATGTAACAAGTCTCTATACTAAAATACAAAACAATATGGCACTGGAGGTAGTCAGAAGTCAACAAAATATTTACTCAGAACTGAATCAGAGAACTAAGATATCGGTTGATGAGATCATATTAGGCGTACAGTAGTGCCTGACCTCCACAGTCTTCCAGCAATAATTTATGCTCGGAATGTCATCAAGTAAATAATACTATATAACTGTGTTATGAATCAAATAAACAAATCTAATATGGAACTTTGAGGCTTTTTTATCGGTGAGACAGCGTATGCCCCTCTTCTCGCTCCTCACAGTTTGTTGCATGATCCAGTCAAGTCCAGTCGACCACAACCAAGCAGACATCGGTGACAGTAGGCTGCAGCCTTATTTTACTCCTGTCTTCACTTCCAAGGCGTCACTGAGCTTTCCATTGTGAATCAATCACTTGGCATGTAGCATCATATAGCATATAGGTGGTGTTGAATGAGGTTGATAAAGGTTTGTGTCACTTAGACCGTAGTGTTGAAGTAGCTGCCTGTCGAATTACTTCTCGGTCGACGCTGTCGAAGGCCTTTTCAAAATCGATGAAGTTGAGGTGAAGATCCGGTTGACTGCCATTCTATGCTGTGTTCTATGATGATGTGTAGCGTAGCGTCGTGTTGCTGTTTGATCTACGTATGATTTGTTCTTCCTGAATCCATTCTGCCTATTCCGGTCGTAATTTAGAATCGAGAGCACTTTTTAGTCTCTTAAAATACTAAGATATAATATGTACAAACTTCGCACAGAATAATAGAGAACAAAAACTGCTTGGAAAGAATTAAATCACTGTTTGATTTTATCGGCTTAAATGACTACCCTTCAGAATGGTTTTAAAAATTATAGACAGTACAGAATATTCACCCACGGAAATATGCATACAACGATCAGCACCATATTCTGTCTACATATACTGTTCTTTACAATAAACTAACTAATAATAATTCATGAAAATTATCAATCAGAAATACAGATCAGTAAGTGTGCAAGAAATACATACAATACTTACAAATAAGATACGATACGTTTTAATGATATCCATGCATTTAACTCTTTAGTGTCAGCTTTCAAAATTTCTTCTGTGCTTAAGCCAAAATCATTTGGCGTAACATTACGATACTTGAAACGACAGTAGATATCTTCGTCAGCACTGGAACCAGGTATAATATCTTCACAATGTAATTGATAAAACTCTTCAAAGTATTTCTATAATTTATGCAGATACATGTATGTAAATATCAGTATCGGATCAAAATACTGTATTGAATGTAAGTGATACAATGCACAGGAAAATATTTCACCTGACTGTTTTAGAAAATCTAGATGAAAGAGTAGTTACCATTTCAAAATGGCAACTAGTGATACATTTCACACACAAAGTCAACGTGAATCTTATTTGGAATGCATCGATGTAAACTCACCATATAAATATGCAGCTGAAGTCTAGAATAAGTAATTTCGCTTCGGGAGTTTAGGCTTAATAGGTATCTTATCAACGCATATAATATATCAGGCATATAGGGGTCAAACTAACGTATACACATATAATGCCTGTCCTTACTACCCCAGATAACTCATATGTTCACCACTTACTCGAAATGAGTGACGCATAATACTGAACTACGTACAATACAATTTGCCATGGTTATCATAAACATCTGACTGTTCCAGATTAGTCCTGTATTACGCAATCATATTGATTTTCTTAATCCATTGTTTATTTTTCTTTTTACAACCTGAATGGCTTGACTGTTCAACTGACAAACGAATGGTAAGAATATTGAACCAAAAACTACCAGTAAATGTAATAATAGGGTTCATCGATCATTTACATGAAAAGTCTACGGACCACAACTCAAAGCTTTCAAAAGCTGTTTCTACTTAGATTAACAAGTAGCTGAAGTGAAACAACTTTTAATTGATAGTAACCAGCAATGAAATTTAAAAAGATACATTTCGTTCTATTCAGGAATTGTTTGAATGCACCAACTTTTCAATGAGTAGTGTTCTTCCTACTGGGACTGGTGCCCAGCATCCATTGCTTTAAATGTCAGATCCTTACTAACTGAGCTACTTAGTCACGATAGCAACCACTCCTTGTCCGATGGGTCGCTAAAAGACTGTCTACTGTGTATAGAAATTTGATCTGTGTATTCGCGTTCCCCGTTAGCACTATGTTTTTCAAATGAAAACGGTTAAGAACGTAATTCAGCTGATGGTGAGAAATATCCTTGGAATCAAGCAGACTGTGGTCCATTGCAGCACAGAAATAGGTAATTGAGAAACAATCTTTTCTTACCGTTTACACTATCTACTTTAACTGGATGTCCTAACCTAACGACATATAGAAAAATGTTCGTAGGGATTCAGTGGATTTTTGCAGCTTCAGAATTAGTACTTACGGCAATGAAAATCCAGAAAACACTAGGTCAGTTATTTACGTGCGACTGGTTGGAATCCTACACTAATCTAGGCAGTTTTTAACTTGATTTCTGACTATTATACCTATGTCTACTGGATTCATTATTATACTGATATTTTATAATTAGCATAAATTAACTTTGGCTGGAAAGAACATGCTAATTTCTACAACGTACAAATGGAGCTGAAAGTGTTTCATTAACCTGCTACACATTTCGGAGTAATGTACATACAATGCTAATTAATTAATACAGCTGTTATCTTTAAATATAGTCGGATACATAACATCGAGTGATAATAAAAATATTAATATTATGGAAGAACTTTTTAGTTGTTAGAATAATCACGATAACTGTTACACATAAAAAAACTTTGAGGGAAAACTTCAAAACTTATGACATGAAGATATTACGTGCAACATATTATAATGATATTTTAAGTTGAATGAACGAAAATGAAAGATTCCACTGCTAGCCATAAATCACGTAAATTATCATAATAAATATTCATGTGATATCAAGGCATCCATATAGGAGCCCATAAGCCAAAAGAGATCGAACAATACGATCTAGCATAACAACGGAGAATGACAGGAATATCAGGAAATAGAAAATGAAGGTAATTTAACAACTATATGCGGGTGTGCTGACTACATAATTAATTGTATCTTTCGCCTGAAAGTTAATGATAGTATCTAATTGCGTAAATCCAAGTAGGAGGTCGAAAGTAAACCTTAACTCTACGTTCCGAACTGACTGACAAAATCAAGACAGAACCTCGCACATCGGTTCAAGTTGCCATATTTCACAGCAGTACATGAAGAACAGGTAGATAGAAGAATACAACGTTGTGTGAGACAATAAACAATATGAAGATAACGGTTAGTAAAAATATTCAAGCTTTAGAAGATGTTATGGAGTGAATACATCTGCACCATTGTGACCGATTTTCAGCCATGTCACAAAGAGTCCGCAACCAATGAGTTCTTTCGTCTCGGCGATCCCAACCAGGTACTCTACATATCCGTACATAACTCAGACCAACAGTCAGAGACTTCATCGTCTGGTGCCACGCCTTGGTGTAGCCACCCAGAATTCTCTTCCAACCTAATCCAGCTTCCCATAGTATGGCATTTCAAGGTAGGGGGGTGGATCAGGATTCACAAAACATGTCCAAGACATCTCAGGCGATGAAGGTTCACAACGTCATTAATCGACTTGCCTTTCTTGCATAGTACTCTTCGCTTGACTGATTTCAACATTGTTCACATGGTGATTGAACCAAACCTGAGCAATGTTACGAAAACATCTGAGGTCAAAACCCTGTAGTTGCTTCATATCTCCTACTTTTAATGGCTATGCATCACAGCCATACGATAGGACAGAACAGACTGCAGCACAGTATACTCATTTTTTGATAGATGATCGAATATCTCACCAGTTGGCGCCACAGGTGAAGCATGTTGGCAAATGTCAAACGGGCCTTTTGTACCTGAGCTGAGATTTCGTCAGCAACAAATCTGTTCACACTGACGCAACTCCAGAAGTAAGTGAAGTGATCGACACATTCTATCACTTCACTTCCTATCATTAATCTGGGAGTACTTGCAGCAGACCAGTCATGGAGCATCATCTTACATTTGACAGGTCGCAGCGAAACGCATGCCAAACATACTCCGACTTCTGCTCAACGCCTTAAGACGACCCTATATTTTGTCGGTGTCTTACTTTACCTAGGAGGACAATATCGTCTGCATACTCCAAGTCAACCAGATGACCTCCAGTTAGGGGATTAGGTCAATCTCTGTGAAGTCAGATGTATTTAAGGTTATGTCCATTAGTACGTCTATGACGAAGATAAATAGGAACGGTAACAGTAGACATCCTTGGCGAACGCCACCAGCTGTAGTCAATTCTGATGACGTTTATCTATGAGCTTTTCATGTCTGCATGAGTTATGTTATATACTTCAGTAGTGTATTTACAGTAAGACATTGCCACAACACCTCATGGTCGACAGAGTCAAATGACACCTTCAGGTCAAGAAATATGGCAAATGCCGGTCACTGACCAGTAGGTATGCCTAGGTTCCAAAACCTATTGAAGAGTGTAGATGAGATCGATACACCCTCGTCAAGCTCAGTCTGAAACGTGCCTGGTTTTCTCGAATTTGCTGTTCCCGAGCTCCACTTAGGCATCGGATAACTATGGATCCTAGGACCTTGGACACAATATTGACCAAATTCCTCTGTGGTTGTCACAAGAAGATTTATTCCCCTTCCTATAAACTGGGATGATCAGTGAAGTAGACTAGTCTGACAGCCCTACTTCTGATTCTCATGCACTACTTAGTACTTCCGTCACTTTAATTAGTAGTTTCCTACCTCTATACTTGGAAACTCCATGTGGCGAACTGTCAGTTCCTGCTGCTTCGCACCGTTTCGGGTTCGATACAGCTTTCTCAACTTCAAGGACAGTTGGAGGACCTACATCTACGTGCCGTTTGGGTTCAGGCTGGATGTAGGGAAACTGAAGTGGTTGCCGACGGCCAGTTGAACTGTGCTTCGAAATGTTCCACCCAACGTTCTAGCCGCCTGTTGTGAGAAGTTATCGTGATGGTTTCACTCATCATCGTCTTCTTCTTGCCGGTATCTTTAATAGGCCGTTACGAAAAGACTGAATAAATAACACTGCGAAACTTGAAAATGAGATCCTAATTTTGACAGTATAAATAAATAGCACCAAACAACTATACTTTTAAAACTATATTGCAAAATTACAGGAAACGGTCTACATCATGAATTTATTCATGCTCCAAAGAGCATGTAAATCCAGAAAAGGGAGAGTTTCGTTATGAAAACCATCTAGCACTCAAAACATGAACTAAACCAACGTATCGTTCAACGCCTTATGAATCATAATTTTATTCAATTCCCTATATGATAGTAACATTTTACCATTTTAATCGGTCACGTTTCACTCAAGGTATCGTACATGTCGTTTCTAAATAAGTATCAAGTCACTATTCCTTACAATTGCCTAGGTAATCGTTTTGTTTTATTATACACCCTTTAATACTGGTGCCGAATTTAATCTGACAAGAACACTAATCAGAATGTATATGTGCAATATCTCAAAATACATTTGCAACCTTAATTAGACTCTTGTAACTGTTTCACTTCAACACATCAATTACAACAATCTTACTCAGAGAATTAAAAACTATTTACACGTCGTAAGTAGTTAACTAATATTACCATCAGACTGAATAATTTCGCTACCTTCTTGCTAAATGGCAAAAATACAACTTGATGATTATTTTTAAGTCGATTTTTACTTTCAAGTATCTGAATATGAAGTGACCATATAAAAACTTGATAACAACAAGCACTTAAGGGTCCACTGATGCATGTATAACATCAAGTTAAAAATTGCTCCCTATTGAATTCCGAAGTAAATCTGCACTTTAAATTCTATGGATTTACAAAAAATATTTACCCCTGATGTGTTTAAAACTAGAATAAAACAAATTATCAGTCTTTTGAGGTTTTCGTTATTTTCCTTAGAGATGTTAGAATCCATTGAAAAACACCTGCATACTAATGGGCTTCAAAAGACTACAAAGTTGAAATGATTACTTCATAATCCAGTTCATAAGTCATGGTGTGATTGGGAAAAAGTACAAGAATCTGTAAGTTCATGCCATCGAAATGAATTAACTTATTTAAATGTCCAAGATGGTGACAATTCCTACGATAAGTGAAGTGTGTAAAATGTACAAATGAAGTAATGTGTATCATTTCCTACTTTGATGAAGATACAGTGAATAACGGGTGAAACCAAAGAAAGTTCCAGAAATAACTTGCATGAATTCTAAGACTTCTTCACAGGATAAAATTTACGGTCTATCTTTAAATTTGATAAGTTAAAAATCTAGACTCACTTCATAATCTGGATAATCATCTGGATCAAAAACTGGTTTCTTTCTCTCCAAAGCTTCATGTAGTTTTCGTTTACTACGGCTTGACTTAGTGTTGACATTCATAGTAGGAATTCTATTGCATACATCATTATCATTGGACTGTGTTTCCGTTAATTCTTCTTGAAAATCATTGTTTAAGCCGTAAGAGGCATCCTGCTCACATTTCTAACAAATATAAAGTTGTGAAACCATATTTTGAATCGCAAAAATAGTGATGAGACAAATAACTGAAGGTAGATTAAAGCTGGGAATAGAGGACCCCTCTAATTATTAATCTTTAAGAAGTGGATATTTATTTGGGAGTCAAGTATGAATTGAAATTAGAGCTAATATGTTACAATAGAAAACCGATAACAATGAAAATACACTTTGTTGTAGTAATATGAACTGAAACAAATATGGGTTGTTTCCCTATCATTTTTGATACGTACAGTTTATTAGCAAAAGATACGTAGATGCATAACAATAATGAAACAAACTGGAGGTTAACAGTATCCCAAAATACAGATTTGACAGTTTTTTGGTACAAACATGGTACAAAATGATTGTTTCTAGACAACAATACAGACTACGATAAAAAAAATCAAATTTATATTAAAACCACATAGTAAAAATGCAAAGACTATTTATGTATACATATATCTTACCTTTTTGGATGCTGATTTTTCTTTAATGTTTGTTACATGCTCTACTTCTAGATCGCTGTCATCTGAAAACTCTGGTTTTGATATATCCTCATCAACTTCTTCATATTCTTTCCCAAACATGGAACTCAACAATTGTTCATGCTTATCAGGATCCCAATCTTCATCTAGATATTCAGCGACATCTAATGCATCTACGTTATTTGAGGTTTCGGTATGCTGAGGACACTGTTTCGATTCATCTTCTGTTTGAGAAGTGAATAGTTTATTAATATCAAGTGGTAAAGAACCTGGACCACAGGAACGCTTGATGCGTTCAATTTTTTCGGCCAGCATACCGAGTTTTAGATTACGTAAGCGTGCCAATTCCTGAAATTTAGCCTGTTTCTCTTTCCGTTTACGTTCCATCTTAGCTTTTCTTTTTTCGGCCCTTTTTGATGTCTTGGATAGTGTTTGACCAATACTATTTTCAATGTATCGAGGGTATGATTTGATCTACGAGGTATAATAATAATAATAATAATAATAACAGTACTAATGCAATGAACCTACACTGACTATTGAAATTTTCATAAATGTAATATTTTATATATTAGCAACTAGGTGGATGTAATTGCAGTAAACATACAATTAAGTAGCTGGAACGACACACGTCAAAACTAACCGTTCGCCCATGTAAAACCTCGATTGAGATGTAAAAACACCTCACTCACACCTTACTCAAATTTATTACTTGTGGACCATATAACGCCAATCATGTGTAAGACGATGCCATAAGTGGAAGGCGACAAGATAAGTCTGAATGTATTGCCACACGCCTATATACTAGGGTATAATCACACTTGTTGAATGAGGGCTTTTGATACTACTGGGTAGTTCAAACCTAAGGAGAACTCAAACCCGTAGTCCATTGCTTGTGAGTAGAACTTATTGACCGATGAAAAAATTCAACAGTCACTTAGACTTACATCTCAACTGACTGCTTTTATATTGCCGGAAATGATGGATGGTTCCACCTTATGTGGAAAGTACACATATTACAACTTGATACAAAAAGATGTAAGTGTTTAATCACGTGTTCATAGATGACTACCAGTTCCCCACAGAACATGAATCTTATTACATAAGCTTTCTCAATAGATAACTAAATCAAAGGTGAACTTGAACAAACTTGAACTTACAAACTCTTTATCCTCCTCTTCAAACCGATGTTGAACCTTCTGCATCTGAGAAATACCGACCTACAGTAAAATGAAAACAGTAATTAAAAATAATGAACAATCACATAATAAATAAAGATTACTGAACAACACAAAGAACGATGACAGTGACGTTACAATATTAACAAATAGGTTGCTAATCAAAACACTATCAACAGATACGAACAACCACTTCATTTATTTTGCAAGTAGATAACTTTTGATAAAACAAAATTTTTAACTCATAGTATTAGGAAAATATACGATTCAAATTAGAGAATATAATGTTATAACATTTTAAAATATAACTACTATGTATCAGAGATAATGGAACTTGGTTGTATTGTGTTCTCTGAGCTAGGTTGTTTAACCGTGGAGCTTTCGTCATCTTTCTAGACGACATCACCAGTACTAACTTCAGTAAGGGAAATATACTTGGCCATAGGTTAGACTCATCAGTCAGTGAGCCATACAAACAATGTGCTTAGCGTTATACTGAAGTCAACACTTCAGTAAAATCTGAAGTTCATTCATAATAATTGCCAAGAGTGTCGATAACAAAAAAAGAAGACTATAGAGTACAACGGAAAACCGACATATCAGATAAAACGCTTAACATATTGAGTGGAATAAAACTACATTTGTAATAATGCAATCCACAATATTTGATAATCTCAACCTTGTAGTCGCTGATTGGGTTTATTGATGTGTACACCGAAATAAAAGACGAATGTATAGAATTTTAAAAGAAAGATGTATATTTATTTCCGTGTTTCTTAGCACATAATCGGTACAAATGCTTCGTAATCGACAAAATAATTACCAGTTGATTTCTACTAACTCCATTTTGTTTGGTTTAGGCTGTAACAATGCGAAAATTACGAAAAAATAGATGTTGATTCCTTACGATGAAAAAAATTAAATTATGCTAAGAGAATCTGAATGAATAGAAATATTTTCTGCGAATAATTCAACATCTTGATACTTATGATGGACAGTGGCTAACAGATGAATACAGGAAACGTGTTTCGCCCAGCTTGGAACTCGTCAGTAGGATGTAGCTGCTTTCTAACGGACTGTGTTGTTCCCACTAAGACTTGAACCAGGGACTGATCGTTTGAAACGTCAGAGCGCTATCCACTAGGCCACCAAGGCAGGGCAGCCACTTCTGTAAAGTGTGGCAACTTGACCCAATTCACCTGTGTGCGATGTTCTACGTTGATTTTGTCAGTCAGTCAATCAAAGTACTTCACTCAGGAAATCCGTTTCCCTACTTTAGCTAGTTCTTTCCTGTATAAAATACTTAAAATAAGGCAGGTGGAATATTATTCAGGCAGACTGAATCATAAATAATGGCTATAGCAAGAAATGACTAAAATATACGCACAGAGCTTCCCGAATCAGTTTATGTAGTGAGTAAAGAACAACAAGTGATTTTTTTTCAAAAGGAATTACTATCAGAAAAGTACGACGAAGCTATGAAGTCAAAAAGATAAAAACCATATCAGCAGTTAATTATAAGGCTAAGAAGTACGTATTTACGCTTCTCAGCCTCAGGGTGAAAACAAAACTTTGAAATTTAGTGATCTTTATTCTAAATGTTACAAATCTAAAAGATAAGACTTTCCAGCAAAAAAAGTGAAGTAATAATCTTAGGATATCACGGTAGTATTCTTCACCGACTGACATCAGTTGAAGAAGTATTCAAAACCTCAATGTAAATGACAGCTATTTCGTTCTAGCATAGCAATGCTCAGTAACGTTCGCTCACGGTCCCACCAGGGATCTCCAACTGATGTCAATGCGTGTTGAGAATCCCAGAGAAATCGATAAATCCTCACAAACCTCCAAACTGAATTTCAGGACAAATTTTGTTCAGTATCACAAATGACTGAATGTCTTTCTTATTCTAGTATGCAATGGTAATTCAACACACTAATCAGAAATTCCAGACGGTGAGAAATACCATTAGGTAAGTCAACAAGCAATTCTGGAGGACTAAATGTCACTTAGTACGAATTTCACAGACTATACATCCTTATTTTGAAACAAACATTGAAAGTAGATATCATTTATATCAAACAATTACACTTACGTGAACACCTAAAGACTGTAAACGTTCTTTTTCCGAATCGTTTACTTTGACCAAAAACTCATCGTCTTCATCTAGAATATCATCATCCTTTGGGAAATTTTTCGTTTTATCATCCACATCGAACCCAGCTTTACGTAGAACATCAGAATATGCAGGAATCGAATTTCTTCCACGTGCATTTCCTTCACGCCAACGTTTATTTATAATGTAGTCACGCAGAAATTCTTCAGCTTCCTTGTTAGAAGAATCAGTAAAAACGATTTTTTCCAGATCCTAAGAGAGAACAAATAAAGGTGAAACCAGACGTTAAATTTATACCACATCCCTCCCTTGTTTGTCATGCAAAACAAACATCCCAACTACCCCAGTTGATGAACCTTCACAAAGTCATGGACTGGCGTGCCGTCCTAGCATGGCAGATATCACTCAACCTCAGAATGGCACAAGCAGTGATACAACCATATGTGAGCAATAAAACGTAGACACCTTCGTTGAGAAAGGTGATGCGGAAAGTTAGTAAATGTCAAACAAGCTTACTCAATACTAGCTAGTATTTCGACAACAACAAGTGCGTTAAAGCTGCTGTTCTTTAACGTTCTAGCCACCCGTCTTCATATATTATCAAGTTCTCTTCATTTTCCGTGATGGTCTTTCTACCCATCATCTTCCTCTTCCCATCAACCTCAATAGCCTGAAACAACTCTTGCACTTCCACTACCCACTCTCTGCAGCTTACGATTATGGTAAGGACTCTTGGTCAATTCACGTTTGAGCTGCTTCCGCTCCTCATCGCGATCACAGACAACTGGAAAGAGTCGTCTTGCATCAATCAATTTCGATGAAGCTATGAAAATCCACTAGCTTTTGCTAACAACTGAGTGCGGGTTATTTACTAACATTCTTTACTACTGTTTCTCTAGTAAACTGAATATTACATCATGTTAAGATTAATACTTAACTATCCCCTCATTAATAAATATACGCTGTGTTTTCATCTTCCGATCAAGCATATGCAAGCCTCACTGGTACCTTTTTCCTTTGACCAGTACGGTGAGGATATACCTACGCAATTATCAACGCGGGAACGAAGTACAGGCTAGTAGTTGATTCAGAAACAGCGAAAGTCCCTCCACAATGGCTTTTGACGATGCGATCCATCTGCGGCCATCATTCGTTTGATGTTAGTGGACTCCATGTGAGGCAGTGTCTCTTCATAAACTGTTCGTCAAAAGCAGATGCTTATCAAAACCTCGCCAACGTAACTCGTTCACTAGCTACAGAGGGGCCTAGGCCGGGATAAAGAGGGAAGGTTCGCCATACGCCTAGCAAACTGTTAACTTCAGAGTCAATAATCTACTCAGATAACGTCACTCAAACGACAACCACAAACACACTGAGTTTTCCAGTGGCTATCATGGTGTTCTCAACAGCATCGAAGGCTCTCTCTCTCACGCAGTGGGAACCAATCTCTTCCCCAATCAGGATCATGACAGCAAGATGCATTCAACTCAAAAGGAAGGAAAGTCACAATCATTCAATGCTACGCTACGCACCAACAAACAATGCAGATCAAGAGAAGAAGGAGGAATTATACAGACAACTGCAATCAACACTCAACAAGACCTCAAACCAGTTGGCGACATCAAAATTCCAATGGGTGGGCTGACACGAACACCAAACTGGGAGCAGACAACACAACAAGACAACTCATCATGGGTCGAGAAGCACTCGGTGAAATGAACGGGAATGGAGAACTGTTTGCAGACGTCTGCGCACTCAACCATTTGGTGATTGGAGCCAGTGTATACAAACACAAGGATATTCACAGGACACAGACATGGATTTCACCAGACACCAGCACACACTACACTGAAAATCAGATCGACTTCATCTCAATCTCAAGAAAGTCGAGACGCAGCTAGCCTACTCCACACAAACTTCAGATCAACACGGGGAGTAGATGTAGGTTCATATCTAGTGCACGGAAACCACCCTCAAAATCAAGTTGAAAGCCTTCACACAAGTTGGTGATAGACGACCACAGTTCAAGTTCAACACTCACAACAGAAACTTAAGGACCAAACTACAACACACATCTTCACGTCAATCAGCCATAAGCACAAAATAGGAGATATTGAGCAACATCCCTGAAGGAACCCCCAAGGAAGAACGCTGAAACTCTTCGAAAGAGATGTGGAAAGAAACTTGCATAACTGTATTCGGAAGGAAGAAGAAGTAAGACAAGGAATGGATCTCCACGGAATCATGGAAACTAATAGACGAGGGGAGGAAGATGATGAAACAGAAGACAAACCAGTGCAATGCAATGCAATGCAGTGCAGTGCAAAGCAGTGCAGTGCGGTGCAGTGTAGGGATGAACAACGAAAAGAGGAACTGAACACAATATATAAAACACTACACTGGACAAAGAAGTAAAGAAGAGTGCGCACAAAGACAAAAGACACTTCCACGACACATCGGCAAGTGAAGCAGAACAGGCTCCTGGTAGGAGAGAGAGAGAGAGAGAGACCTGACAACACTATGTCAAATAACCAGGTTACTAGCTGGGAAGAGATCAACACACATGAAACCAATAAAAGATAGTGGAGGAAACCTGGTCACCAAAGAGGAGAAACAAAGGAAACGATGGGCTGACCACTTTAAAATACTCTTGCATCGGCCACCACCATCATCATCATCTCCAACTCGTCCAGAAATACCACCAGCAGCCCAGACACACAGCTATCAAAGAACACAAGCCCTTCAACAAAAACCGAAGTTGCTGAGATCCGAGAAAGCAGCAGGACCACATGGAATTCCTCCAGAACTACTGAAAACAGACACAGAGACATCATCGGGGGATATCCTCACACCACTATCGCAGAAGGTTTGGATGGAAAGAAGGGAAGGTACCTGCCAATTGACTGGAAGAAGGGCTACCTTGTCAAACACCCAAAGAAGGCAGACCTAAGTCTTTGCAAGAACTGGCACGGAGTTATACTCCACTCCTGTCCACAACAAGCGAGCAAAATATTAGGCCACATCATCCACGAGAGACTAAACGATGAGCCGGATTCAAAATTACGACCGGAATAGGCAGAATGGATTCAGGAAGAACAAATCATACGTAGATCAAACAGCAACACGACGCTACGCTACACATCATCATAGAACACAGCACAGAATGGCAGTCAACCGGATCTTCACCTCAACTTCATCGATTTTGAAAAGGCCTTCGACAGCGTCAACCGAGAAGTAATTCGACAGGCAGCTACTTCAACACTACGGTCTAAGTGACACAAACCTTTATCAACCTCATTCAACACCACCTATATGCTATATGATGCTACATGCCAAGTGATTGATTCACAATGGAAAGCTCAGTGACGCCTTGGAAGTGAAGACAGGAGTAAAATAAGGCTGCAGCCTACTGTCACCGATGTCTGCTTGGTTGTGGTCGACTGGACTTGACTGGATCATGCAACAAACTGTGAGGAGCGAGGAGAGGGGCATACGCTGGATGGACCAATGAAAAGACCCTAGAAGAAGATTTCAATTTCACCGATGATGATGATGATTCATGTCTAATGTCTTGTCCCACAAACTCGAAGATCTACGGGCGAAAACTAACAACTGTACAGAAGAGGCAGAGCAGGGTAGCGAAGATGGGACTCCAAGTGAACGTAAAGAAGACGGACATGATGAAGATACCCAACCAACAACAGCAGCAACAACAACAACAACAACAAACACCAATCACCATTAACCGGAGAAACCTAAAGGAATTAGTCTCTTCCAACCACCCACCTACCTAGGCAACTACAGGCGGCGGCACACACGAGGATGTCAAAAACAGGATCGGAAAAACAACAAGACAAGCCTTCCTGTATTAATCTAAAATCAGTGTGGAGATCTACTGCACTCAACTCAGCATAAAGCGTGAATAAGATCTGGATTCTCAACACCCTTGTCAGTCAAGTCAGTGCAGTGCTGCCATGTGATGGTTGAGAAATTTGACACGTCACAAAAAGCATTCCCAACAAACTACACATATTCATCAACAGCTGCCACCTACGCTCACTCGATACTGACACTGAAGATCTGATGGTCAGAATAGTAAGAATAAGATTTCTCAGTTCTTGCAGGGTATGTAGCTCTGGCATGTACATATGAACTGACAGATATAGTTAAGGGTTAAAAGAGTTGAGAACTTGTTCACTTGGGATTGCCTCATAAAGCAGTTAGTCTACGGATGTAGTTGTCACAAGTTGGATTAATTATAGACAGAGTATTGCATTGAAAAACAAGCTACCCTCTAGCCAAGATAGAAAGTGTGTATCAGGCTTACTATTCATTGAGATAATCCATAGTGGGCAAGCTTCCAAGTCTTGTTACTTCCAACTGTGCCCATCAATTCATATGCACGTGTCAAAGTAAATACATTGGAAGAACAGAGAGGAAGGTTTTCGTTCTCGAAAAACTTGAGATGTAAAGGTTCTCAAGGTTTAAATGGTGCAAAGGATCGGCATTTAGATGATAGTGAACATAATATCGACGTATCAAAATCGTCTAAGGTGATCAACAAAAACTGAAAACCAACCTTTAGCGCTTGGCTAAAGCAGCCGGAATTAGTAAACTCATACCTGACGTATACATCCGAAAAAAATACTATTGCCAATCATCCTTTACTTTTTGGTAAACTACTACGAAATTTCATAACCTCACGATCTCCCGATTTTTCATTTTTCCTCTCAATCTACTTCAAAACCTACTCTCACATTCTGAGGTGTGTTCATCTTGTTACTCAATATAATGAAAATTTGTCAAACCTTTTATTATGCCTGCTTAATCAAGATGTGATTAATGGCAATTTGAGAAATAACACTGTTTACAACCACCTCCCAAATTCCGCTATCTTCTCCAGAATGTTCATTATATCATTGTAAAAATGGTTAGTAATTGAGTGGTCTTGACAACCTCATCAATTGCAGTCGGCCTACATATTTGCTATCTTTCATCTCAATCAAAAAATTATTGTCAATTTATGAAAGTTTTTTTAATTATAAACACTATATTCAATAGGTTGGATATGGATAATACCAGCAGCATAAACAAGAAAAGAGAAATGAAGTAGCCTAAATGAGGAAACAGAAAAGAGATTATTATCAAACTACAATCATTATCCTCACTCTTTAACTGCCATCGTAAATAAGATTTAATGATATTCACGCATCCGTAATATGTCAAAACTCCCTTACTGGATGGAGATTCAAAATCTGATCAACTGATTTACCACTGAAAGCAAACAATACTTCGTAGGCATCGATGATCAAGTATCCGTAATCTTAGAATTTCTAGATCAGCTAATTATTGCCTCATATATATATATATATATATATATATATATATATATATATATATATATATATATATACATATATATATATATATAATCTATCGCACCTCACAAATTTTTTCTAAAAGTATTCGTATTCATACACTACATAGAGCTGAGACTCTAAGAATCAGAAAAAGACCTTAATCTTTGTATGCAGAAGAAGTTTGTATAACACTTATCTCTGACTTGGCCGGAGATAAATTAAATTTTCCCAACCCCTTTCAGTTTCTTCACGTCTTTAAATAAACATATCTGATTTATCTACACTATAACTATCTACATACTTCATTCTTTAGTGTTATGCAACCGTTACTTTTCTAAGCTTTGACTTACCTCAATTACCGATATATTTGTAGAACCATACCATCCTCACTATTCTTACCATCACTAGAACAAAAACTAAATTATCATGATGACAATTATCTGGATACTTACCAGCTGCAGACTTCATTGCCTTGTTACCACAGACTAAAGAACTAACAATGATTGGTTCAATGTTTTATATGTAAGAAAATTTATGTTTGTTAGCGTAAAGCTTGATGAGAGCTAAGTGAAGACAATGTTGTTCGCTCACACGTCTTCCAGTTTAAACAAAGGAATTTCATACTTGTATACATACATGAAAATTGAGGCTGGTGGGGATTTTATGCTTAAGGTAGCATTCATCATTGACTGATATCAGCTGGAAACCCACTGAAACCCTAGGAGCACTGAACAGCCGTTTCATCCTACCATGGGACTCCTCAGAAGTACGCACTCACGACCCGGCTGGGGACCAAAGTCAGGATATTCAGGTGAGATGTGTTCGCCGTGGAACCTGAAGGTCATGAGTTAAGTCTCCAGCCGGGTCGTGAGTGTGTACTACTGAAGAGTCCCATAGTAGGATGAAACGGCTGTTCAGCGTTTCCAGGATTTCAGTTGGTTTCCAACTGATATCAGACAATGATGAATATCAATTTGGGTTCCAGGAGGGCTACCTAAATAAAAGGCGTAAGATAAAAATATATATTACTTATCCCAAAAATTAAAACCTGCCTGCATCAAAAGTCTAAATCCCTGAAAGAAAAAAGTTGTTAAAACCCTTAGGGATTTAAAACAATCAGTATTCTATAGATAAAAGCTACTAAAAATAAACTCGAGACAGGCTGGCTCGAATCAAGAAGAACCAATCATACGTAGATCAAACAGCAACACGACGCTACGCTACACATCATCATAGAACACAGCACAGAATGGCAGTCAACCGGATCTTCACCTCAACTTCATCGATTTTGAAAAGGCCTTCGACAGCGTCGACCGAGAAGTAATTCGACAGGCAGCTACTTCAACACTACGGTCTAAGTGACACAAACCTTTATCAACCTCATTCAACACCACCTATATGCTATATGATGCTACATGCCAAGTGATTGATTCACAATGGAAAGCTCAGTGACGCCTTGGAAGTGAAGACAGGAGTAAAATAAGGCTGCAGCCTACTGTCACCGATGTCTGCTTGGTTGTGGTCGACTGGACTTGACTGGATCATGCAACAAACTGTGAGGAGCGAGAAGAGGGGCATACGCTGGATGGACCAATGAAAAGACCCTAGAAGAAGATTTCAATTTCACCGATGATGATGATGATTCATGTCTAATGTCTTGTCCCACAAACTCGAAGATCTACGGGCGAAAACTAACAACTGTACAGAAGAGGCAGAGCAGGGTAGCGAAGATGGGACTCCAAGTGAACGTAAAGAAGACGGACATGATGAAGATACCCAACCAACAACAGCAGCAACAACAACAACAACAACAAACACCAATCACCATTAACCGGAGAAACCTAAAGGAATTAGTCTCTTCCAACCACCCACCTACCTAGGCAACTACAGGCGGCGGCACACACGAGGATGTCAAAAACAGGATCGGAAAAACAACAAGACAAGCCTTCCTGTATTAATCTAAAATCAGTGTGGAGATCTACTGCACTCAACTCAGCATAAAGCGTGAATAAGATCTGGATTCTCAACACCCTTGTCAGTCAAGTCAGTGCAGTGCTGCCATGTGATGGTTGAGAAATTTGACACGTCACAAAAAGCATTCCCAACAAACTACACATATTCATCAACAGCTGCCACCTACGCTCACTCGATACTGACACTGAAGATCTGATGGTCAGAATAGTAAGAATAAGCAACAAGGAACTCTGGCTAGGTGGCAACGAACCAACCAACAACCCATCACCCAACAAATATGCAGAAGGAAGTTGAGATGGATTGGGCATACACTGAGAAGACTATTCGGGGACATCACGCACCAAGCTCTCAAGTGTAATCCATAGGGGAAACGACGAGTTGAGCGTCCGAGGGTGAGAGTGACATGGAGGAGATCGTGTGAGGAAGAAATGGTAGCTCGTGGTTAGTGGTGGAGTCAGGTTGAAAAGACTGCAGAGAACCGAGTTCAATGGAGGCGTGCCACTGAATCCCTATATTCCACTAGGAATTCAAGGGACATAATAATAATAATAATGATAATAATAATAATAATAATAATAATAATAATAATAATAATAATAATAATAATAATAATAATAAGAGTAAGTGGTTATCAGGACAAAATTGTAGCAAATGATCATTGTTGTCAGTTAGCTGGGATGTGTTTCCATACATATCTCCAAGGTGTCTTTCCGAGTGGCTCAGCTCGCCTACTTTAGCAGTTAAGTCGACTACTGAATGCTTTGCTTTTTGAAGCGGAATGGACAACAACTTTTCGAATCCTACCTCATTTTTATAGATCAGTTCAATTGGACTTTAGATGGAGATCTGAATTGTTCAAACTACACGAATTCCAGATAGCTACTTCAGCAGACTGACCGGAATTTGGGTGGTTTGAACAGCTCGACTTTGAGCTGAATAAATCCATGTACACCACTTATGAGTTCAGCCACAAATTTGCGAAACGGGAGTCTGGAGCTTACACCACTTTGACCTGGATAACAGGCACAGCTGATCGATGTGAGTGGCCTAGAACTACGCATGTCAGTCAGTAGTGTGCTACATGAAGTTACATGCTTGCCATTTTACCACAAATTATGATATCGAGCAGACCATACGTGATCTGAATATGTTAGTTTCCATAGGATGCCATGGTGAGTTTTTTCACCGTGAACTGAGTATCTATGCAAATATCCAATATAATTCATTTTTACGAATGTTGGTTTGAGATTTGATCGTTCTAACGCCTGAAAAGAAAAATCCATACCTTCGGTACAGGAAAAAATCATAGCAGGGACAGTGTACTATCTAGGAAATATTCTTTTCTAAATCACTTCTCTTTTCTCATAGGAAAGGTATCATAAGCATGATACTGCTGGCCATCCACGGATGGCACCTTGTGGAGTTGTGACTCATTGGTTTATGTAGTTAGCTTTCAAGCAGTGGGTCAGGGTTCGAACACCACTTCACCTACCGAGGTTTGAGTAACCAGGTCGTATCATTAGACCTCACACAATAGGCGTGGTTCACTGCCTACTGCGCGAATATGTACAAGGTAGGGTGGATTTTGATTTCTCAGCGAATACCCTACTGCCGCCGCACTCTGTTCACCAGCCATACAATTTTTCCTTCGGACCTCTAATATAGAGTAGCAGTTTACGATATGAGGGCAAGTGCTCTTTGTCTCATCTTTATTCAACAGACCTTTCTGGCATAGTAGTAACTCACGGGGAAAGCAATACAGTCAATGTAGCTCGTTATATCCTTGTGATATGCAAGACCGACTACCAATTATACAGAATTTATAATAAAATCCAACGTTTAATATGACCAGAAAGTTGATAACTTATTTAATTGTTCTGCTTTTTTTTCAGTAAAATCTACCTAACACTTAGTGATCATTTAAACATACAAGCCAAAATGTTTTGAAGCATTAAACGGATGTCATAAAAACCAAATGAATATCTGTTTTATTTTAGAAATGTCTGTAAACAGTATAAATTCCACTGCATTCATTCTTATATTTTTCTGCGTATTATAATTTGGTGATCTTCAACAAAGACTGATAATGAGAACTATGATTATCATGAAAATGAGACCAGTGCATAAAAATTGATAGTATCAAGCTAATATCACATATTTGATGACAGATAAGCATAATGAAAAGGTGAAGAATTCAAAATACTTTCTCATCTAACGTTAAAAACAGAGATTCTATGATGCAAATAAACAAGTATAAGAAGATACTAAAAAAGTGAGTTTTCATGCAACATAAAACATATCGAATTGTCACAAAAGTGATCATAGGAAATTTAGTTATAAAGTTGAAAATCAAACGGTGCAGTATACTTAATATTGAATTCGTTAATGGGTAGTGAACGCCTACTTCCGCCATCTCTGTTCAGATATAAACCTGACAGTTTTTCACACATCCACTTGACCGACTAGAATGTAAGTATTACAAGCAATCAGTTAACAATATTGATATAACATACATAGTAACTTGAACTACTGCTTGAAAGTGTAGAATCTGGATAATATCTAGCAATACCATGAAGAATGAAACACTCCTTACCAACATATCATATTACAAGGATGCATTAAACTTACATAAGAACATTCATTCTTCGCCTTTTTATTGGATGATTTTTCTTCGGTTTTTCGCTTCTGAAGGAAATTTAAATCAAGTTCAGCACTGTCTGTTTCCTTTTCATCTGTATTTGCAGCAGCTTGTTGAAGTGCTTCATTTGCTTCTCTGGGCAGATAAATAAAACGCATTTTTAAACGTAACAAACATGATTAGATCATTTTTTTTAGATTAAGTGATTTAGGGTTATAGTGTGGTGTGTGCTAGTTATACGAAAACATGTAAGTAGTAGACACAATGATAACCTCTGAAAGGCAGGTAGAGTTATAATACAACCGGCGAAAGTTTTGAAGGAGGAAACGAAGAACATAGAAAGGAAATACAGAAGGCAAGCAAAGAAGCAACAAAAATTGAAGGTCAGACCATCTTAACGTAGGATGCAGAGACTACTGACAACTATTGTATTTAGTGTAAAGAAGCTGAAAATTGGGTTATAGTACACTCAGCAACCTCCTGCACCTTCATGCAGTAGGCAATGAACCACAATTATTGTGTGAGGGCTAATGATACTACCTGGTTTCCCAAACCTCGGTAGGTAGAGCGAGGTTCGAAACCATGGAAAGTCGTCTACCTAAATTATTCAGTGTAAAGATTTGTTATTTTACCAAGACTGAGTGTAGTTTTCTAGTAAACGACTTCATCAATTTTCACTTGTATTGCTTCTACGCAAGTAGCAAGGTAAAGGGATTTTTAAAACATGTCCACTTAACTAACTTCCACCTTCACATATATATATATATATATATATATATATATATATATATATATATATATATATATATATATATGTCATAAAATCATAAACTGAATAGACGTTTCAAGAATTATTGAAGTAGAATAAGAACAGTAAAAGTTAGTTATTGGTCATTTCTAGTGATTTCAATGCGTCAACACTAGGTCCAGTAACCAGTATATGCCAAGCCATTGAGATATTTAAAGCCTGTAGAGCTTTAGGACTCAAGTTCTTCATAATATATACAAAAATAAAAAAAGATTTCTCAGTTCTTGCAGGGTATGTAGCTCTGGCATGTACATATGAACTGACAGATATAGTTAAGGGTTAAAAGAGTTGAGAACTTGTTCACTTGGGATTGCCTCATAAAGCAGTTAGTTTACGGATGTAGTTGTCACAAGTTGGATTAATTATAGACAGAGTATTGCATTGAAAAACAAGCTACCCTCTAGCCAAGATAGAAAGTGTGTATCAGGCTTACTATTCATTGAGATAATCCATAGTGGGCAAGCTTCCAAGTCTTGTTACTTCCAACTGTGCCCATCAATTCATATGCACGTGTCAAAGTAAATACATTGGAAGAACAGAGAGGAAGGTTTTCGTTCTCGAAAAACTTGAGATGTAAAGGTTCTCAAGGTTTAAATGGTGCAAAGGATCGGCATTTAGATGATAGTGAACATAATATCGACGTATCAAAATCGTCTAAGGTGATCAACAAAAACTGAAAACCAACCTTTAGCGCTTGGCTAAAGCAGCCGGAATTAGTAAACTCATACCTGACGTATACATCCGAAAAAAATACTATTGCCAATCATCCTTTACTTTTTGGTAAACTACTACGAAATTTCATAACCTCACGATCTCCCGATTTTTCATTTTTCCTCTCAATCTACTTCAAAACCTACTCTCACATTCTGAGGTGTGTTCATCTTGTTACTCAATATAATGAAAATTTGTCAAACCTTTTATTATGCCTGCTTAATCAAGATGTGATTAATGGCAATTTGAGAAATAACACTGTTTACAACCACCTCCCAAATTCCGCTATCTTCTCCAGAATGTTCATTATATCATTGTAAAAATGGTTAGTAATTGAGTGGTCTTGACAACCTCATCAATTGCAGTCGGCCTACATATTTGCTATCTTTCATCTCAATCAAAAAATTATTGTCAATTTATGAAAGTTTTTTTAATTATAAACACTATATTCAATAGGTTGGATATGGATAATACCAGCAGCATAAACAAGAAAAGAGAAATGAAGTAGCCTAAATGAGGAAACAGAAAAGAGATTATTATCAAACTACAATCATTATCCTCACTCTTTAACTGCCATCGTAAATAAGATTTAATGATATTCACGCATCCGTAATATGTCAAAACTCCCTTACTGGATGGAGATTCAAAATCTGATCAACTGATTTACCACTGAAAGCAAACAATACTTCGTAGGCATCGATGATCAAGTATCCGTAATCTTAGAATTTCTAGATCAGCTAATTATTGCCTCATATATATATATATATATATATATATATATATATATATATACATATATATATATATAATCTATCGCACCTCACAAATTTTTTCTAAAAGTATTCGTATTCATACACTACATAGAGCTGAGACTCTAAGAATCAGAAAAAGACCTTAATCTTTGTATGCAGAAGAAGTTTGTATAACACTTATCTCTGACTTGGCCGGAGATAAATTAAATTTTCCCAACCCCTTTCAGTTTCTTCACGTCTTTAAATAAACATATCTGATTTATCTACACTATAACTATCTACATACTTCATTCTTTAGTGTTATGCAACCGTTACTTTTCTAAGCTTTGACTTACCTCAATTACCGATATATTTGTAGAACCATACCATCCTCACTATTCTTACCATCACTAGAACAAAAACTAAATTATCATGATGACAATTATCTGGATACTTACCAGCTGCAGACTTCATTGCCTTGTTACCACAGACTAAAGAACTAACAATGATTGGTTCAATGTTTTATATGTAAGAAAATTTATGTTTGTTAGCGTAAAGCTTGATGAGAGCTAAGTGAAGACAATGTTGTTCGCTCACACGTCTTCCAGTTTAAACAAAGGAATTTCATACTTGTATACATACATGAAAATTGAGGCTGGTGGGGATTTTATGCTTAAGGTAGCATTCATCATTGACTGATATCAGCTGGAAACCCACTGAAACCCTAGGAGCACTGAACAGCCGTTTCATCCTACCATGGGACTCCTCAGAAGTACGCACTCACGACCCGGCTGGGGACCAAAGTCAGGATATTCAGGTGAGATGTGTTCGCCGTGGAACCTGAAGGTCATGAGTTAAGTCTCCAGCCGGGTCGTGAGTGTGTACTACTGAAGAGTCCCATAGTAGGATGAAACGGCTGTTCAGCGTTTCCAGGATTTCAGTTGGTTTCCAACTGATATCAGACAATGATGAATATCAATTTGGGTTCCAGGAGGGCTACCTAAATAAAAGGCGTAAGATAAAAATATATATTACTTATCCCAAAAATTAAAACCTGCCTGCATCAAAAGTCTAAATCCCTGAAAGAAAAAAGTTGTTAAAACCCTTAGGGATTTAAAAACAATCAGTATTCTATAGATAAAAGCTACTAAAAATAAACTCGAGACAGGCTGGCTCGAATCAAGAAGAACCAATCATACGTAGATCAAACAGCAACACGACGCTACGCTACACATCATCATAGAACACAGCACAGAATGGCAGTCAACCGGATCTTCACCTCAACTTCATCGATTTTGAAAAGGCCTTCGACAGCGTCGACCGAGAAGTAATTCGACAGGCAGCTACTTCAACACTACGGTCTAAGTGACACAAACCTTTATCAACCTCATTCAACACCACCTATATGCTATATGATGCTACATGCCAAGTGATTGATTCACAATGGAAAGCTCAGTGACGCCTTGGAAGTGAAGACAGGAGTAAAATAAGGCTGCAGCCTACTGTCACCGATGTCTGCTTGGTTGTGGTCGACTGGACTTGACTGGATCATGCAACAAACTGTGAGGAGCGAGAAGAGGGGCATACGCTGGATGGACCAATGAAAAGACCCTAGAAGAAGATTTCAATTTCACCGATGATGATGATGATTCATGTCTAATGTCTTGTCCCACAAACTCGAAGATCTACGGGCGAAAACTAACAACTGTACAGAAGAGGCAGAGCAGGGTAGCGAAGATGGGACTCCAAGTGAACGTAAAGAAGACGGACATGATGAAGATACCCAACCAACAACAGCAGCAACAACAACAACAACAACAAACACCAATCACCATTAACCGGAGAAACCTAAAGGAATTAGTCTCTTCCAACCACCCACCTACCTAGGCAACTACAGGCGGCGGCACACACGAGGATGTCAAAAACAGGATCGGAAAAACAACAAGACAAGCCTTCCTGTATTAATCTAAAATCAGTGTGGAGATCTACTGCACTCAACTCAGCATAAAGCGTGAATAAGATCTGGATTCTCAACACCCTTGTCAGTCAAGTCAGTGCAGTGCTGCCATGTGATGGTTGAGAAATTTGACACGTCACAAAAAGCATTCCCAACAAACTACACATATTCATCAACAGCTGCCACCTACGCTCACTCGATACTGACACTGAAGATCTGATGGTCAGAATAGTAAGAATAAGCAACAAGGAACTCTGGCTAGGTGGCAACGAACCAACCAACAACCCATCACCCAACAAATATGCAGAAGGAAGTTGAGATGGATTGGGCATACACTGAGAAGACTATTCGGGGACATCACGCACCAAGCTCTCAAGTGTAATCCATAGGGGAAACGACGAGTTGAGCGTCCGAGGGTGAGAGTGACATGGAGGAGATCGTGTGAGGAAGAAATGGTAGCTCGTGGTTAGTGGTGGAGTCAGGTTGAAAAGACTGCAGAGAACCGAGTTCAATGGAGGCGTGCCACTGAATCCCTATATTCCACTAGGAATCCAAGGGACACAATAATAATAATAAGAGTAATAATAATAATTAATAATGATAGAAATAACTTTTGTGCTACGCTTTTTTTAAAACCCTAATACACTCACTGTAGAAATTGCTCTTTTGATATATCTTCAGCAGATGCTTTTAGCTTTTTCAAGATCTCATCGCTTTCCATCTTAACCACCTTCTCAGCCTCTTTAGAGGTTTCTTCATCCTCCAAACCATTGTGACTTAAAAGAAACTCACGCTCATAGTCACGAAGTTTCAAGGCACGTTTCTTTGTCTTCTTTGCATCATCCGCTTTGTTAATTTTCACCTCAGTTATTTCATTTGAAGACTCGGCGCTTTCCTCTGATGCATTAGGATCGCGAAACCATTGTTTGTTCGGATCATTAAGTGAAGGGTCATTCGTACACAGTGCTTGATATAATGTTAGGAAGTCTTCTTGTTCTTTTCCTCCCAGCTTGAATCAGAGTCTGTAGAGCTTGAAGAGGTAGATTCCTCCTCAGCAGTGTCAAGATTTGAAGTAGACAGTTTTTCCTCAGTAACTTCTTCACCACCTTCAGTTTGCTTGGGTAACTTAGTATTTTTCAGTCTAGCATCACCATATCTCGCCTTTAGCTTTTCATATTCCTCCTTTTGACGATATCTGTTATAGTTTTTGGCGAAATTCTCGTTGATTTTGAAAAGCATACCTGGTTAGCTGGAAACAATAATTTCTAGAGGGCAAAATAAAAGCAACAAACAAACAGGTATGTACTTGACAGGCACAGTCACAAGTAACTTTTTTTTAACACAAATGATACCAATAGTCATTTTTCAAATACTTCTGACAAGACACTAACTTATCACTCTTTCCAAAGTTTAGAAATCAGATGATAATAATTTAAGAAAGGTGTATCACATACGTCTGAGAGACATGCTGCAACACCGAAATAAATTAACTTAAAAACCAGGTAAAACATTTCCTTCACGAAAAAATAGAAGTATGGACTAACACTTTCTTTACACTTTACTCACACTAAATAATTCATCTACAGAAGTTTGATTGATTGAGAAAGGATCGCTTATTGCTCAAATTCGATCACCTAACAACATAAAATCAACAAGATCATTATTCATTTACAGCATTTTACTGCAAAAGAGATACAAACACTTAGATCCCCAAAGTCAATGATTATAGACTTATTTCCAAAGTCTGTATTCTACAATACATTTATGTTCACAACAACAGCAATGATTTGTACATAGTTCAGTACATCTTGAATCTTAAGCTGACTAAACAATTCCTTTTTACGCATTTAGATCCCCTGGTAAATTTGAACAAAGCAAGAAGGGCTAAATTTACAGAATCAAATGACATCATTTTATTTAAAGAATACAACACAAACAGTATAGGAACAGAAATCGAATGAACTTATATTACACAAAAAAGGCATGGAAGGAGAAGGAATGAGTTGCTGAAGATAAATTAAATGCTTCAAATGTCAAGGATGATACATAGTGAATGCATCATTATCTAATACATTAGCCAACATCAACGCGGAGCTAGCATTACTGCTTAAGGACGCCAGCTGAAACATCTCATATCAGCACTATAGTGGTAGAAACTCGTAAACTACCACTCAGTGTTCAGAATACTCTGCGTCTTCACTCAGCAGGACTATTTCATCTATATTACATAGGTTTAGTAAACAGTCTCCTGTCACAAGATTAATCCTTGTAAAGTCAGATGAGGAAAACCAGAACTTTGTAGGCATCTTTAATTAGGAATTGAAAGAATCGGCAACCATAAAAAGCACCACACAATGTACATAAGCCACCTCGCAACTCATCACAAGTCCATACAATGTCACAAGTGTTCGAATACAGCGGCTTCAACAAGGTGGTTTACTATATGATACCCCTTTCGGTGAGAGACACTGCCATATGACCTCGCGATCAAAAAAGTTGAATGTTGCCTTCAGGTCAATAAGTACAGCTAGCGTCAGGTACTAATAAGTGTGCTTGTATTAAAGAACTTAACAGAAGGTTAAATATCAGGTCAATACACCAAGGACCAGGTGCAAAGTCTTCCCGTTATTCGCAGCTTTGCTTTTATCAAGTTCCACTTAGGCATCTAATCATTCTAGAGTCTAGAATCTTCGATACAATGTTCAACAGAATGATTCTCCCAAGGCTATCATAAGAGGATTTTTCTCCTTTCTTGAAGATTGGTACTGTCAGTAATTGAAGATAATCAGAAGGAATCATATCTGATCCCTATAGGCTAACTAACACTTTAGCTAATCTAGTCAAGATTTTGTGACACATACATAGCGTAACTGTTGGCAGTATGACGTTAACTTTTTGTCCTACCACTATCATACAGACGTTCTTGATATGGTAGGACATCAGGGAACAAATTTTCCGACAAGCACAGCTCGTTGGGGTATTGTAATACGCAGACTCAAGTATCATAGGAAAGTAACGGCTAGCGGTCCGGATGCATCACCACCGCGATAGATTATCGCCCAGGAAATATGTGCATGACAAATTTGACGCAGAAAAGGCACTTAAGTACATCAAAAGTGGCAATTGTGACGTCAATAGGAAACCAAAAACAAAGTAGCACTAATTTCTGTTTGTGAAGTATCATTCGATGAAACACTTTCTGAACGAAAGACACCACAAAAATTACTTGTATCGATCTACTGATCTCATAATATAAAGCCAAAGAGTATGAAACTCCCACAGAAAAACCAATTTTCCGAATCGACTTCGGAAAAAAGACGATGAAAAAAGTGCTACCAAACATAGCTAGCAGTAGGAACGGAGAAATTCTGGTTCAGCAATTTAATGTCACATGGTGAAAGACTTAAACATGTAACTGTATTCTCAATTGGCATAGCATCGTTTACTGGCATACAATAGGTAGGAACCGACTGCATGCAGAAATATGTGTGTACATTAAAATATCTGAGACAGCGACGGTTTGCAAAACTGGTCAAAGTAATTGAACATGAAATCAAAACGTAGGATGCGGTAGGATTCGAAATAGTAAACTCTAGATATAGATCATGTACTCCATCAACTGAGCTACAACACCCAGAAGTTAATCAGGTCTCAATTTTACTGCATTCACCGAATGTTTTTTTCTAGCTATCAAGTGAATGACTGTGAAGAGACGGTGATGCATAAATTATTACCACAACAGTTGGATACAACCCTCGATGACTGAAGTGGAGTTGAGACCTAATGGGCGTACACGCCTCGTAACTAAGTTAGTACAACTCAAAAGTTTCTGGTTGGCACCATATAGTGAATCAGAATTCGATTTTAGATTCAATCATTGGTCTATTTTACATGAAAATTGTGCACGTCCATAATACACCTAGAAAAGTACTTCAGAAAACCCTGAACATTGCAACATATACAAGAAAAAAGAAACAATAAGAGACAACTGGTCTAAAAAGGAATAGTGGACAGTAGAAAAAAAACAACTGACACACTGTAGACGGAAGTGGAGAAAAATGAGTTCGAATCTAAGAAAATTCTGTACAATTAAAAACTGATATTCCATTTTAGTTGATTTACCACACATATTACACAATGGAAGAGTGTTGTCAACTGGATTACGTTTCCAAAAGAATTTATTGTCCATACTCGTAACCAGACAACTACTCAACTTCCTGATATCCTTCATAAAACAGTCCTAATCTCCTTACCTGCATTGTCATATTCAAAGTAGGCTTTCCCATAGAGTCGGAGCAGGTGCTTAGTCATTCCTACTCCAGGTATTTGATGTTCATTCGAAAAACAAAGATCCAGTTAATTTCGGGGGGTTAGAGGGATTTAGAACCTCGACCATGTAACTGATTCGCTAGTTACTAGACGGTCCAAAGCCCGGATAAAGAAGGAAGCTTGGCCATACAGCTAGCAACCCTACCCCCCAAAAACAATCCAATCGATAAAGAAACTCAAAAGCACAAACAAATTACAAAAAATAAATTAAAAAAAACTTATTACTCGCTGGAATCGGAGAGACGAAATAACAACGGTTGGTGAAAGTCTTCAGGAAGCCAGTCGGCAGATATCTCTTCTCTTCTATCGATGAAAGTAAACATAAACATGGCGACATCGAATGTCCGCACAATGCATGAACCTACCAAGGCGGCCCACATTCCAAAGACATGAAAAGGTGTGGCATGCAAGTGATAGCAATCTGAGAAAACAGGTGGAATGGAAGTGGACTCTACAAACTGTCAACTGCAGAGTCAATAATCTACTCAGATAACGTCACTCAAACGACAACCACAAACACACTGAGTTTTCCAGTGGCTATCATGGTGTTCTCAACAGCATCGAAGGCTCTCTCTCTCTCCCTCTCTCTCTCTCACGCAGTGGGAACCAATCTCTTCCCCAATCAGGATCATGACAGCAAGATGCATTCAACTCAAAAGGAAGGAAAGTCACAATCATTCAATGCTACGCTACGCACCAACAAACAATGCACATCAAGAGAAGAAGGAGGAATTATACAGACAACTGCAATCAACACTCAACAAGACCTCAAACCAGTTGGCGACATCAAAATTCCAATGGGTGGGCTGACACGAACGCCAAACTGGGAGCAGACAACACAACAAGACAACTCATCATGGGTCGAGAAGCACTCGGTGAAATGAACGGGAATGGAGAACTGTTTGCAGACGTCTGCGCACTCAACCATTTGGTGATTGGAGCCAGTGTATACAAACACAAGGATATTCACAGGACACAGACATGGATTTCACCAGACACCAGCACACACTACACTGAAAATCAGATCGACTTCATCTCAATCTCAAGAAAGTCGAGACGCAGCTAGCCTACTCCACACAAACTTCAGATCAACACGGGGAGTAGATGTAGGTTCATATCTAGTGCACGGAAACCACCCTCAAAATCAAGTTGAAAGCCTTCACACAAGTTGGTGATAGACGACCACAGTTCAAGTTCAACACTCACAACAGAAACTTAAGGACCAAACTACAACACACATCTTCACGTCAATCAGCCATAAGCACAAAATAGGAGATATTGAGCAACATCCCTGAAGGAACCCCCAAGGAAGAACGCTGAAACTCTTCGAAAGAGATGTGGAAAGAAACTTGCATAACTGTATTCGGAAGGAAGAAGAAGTAAGACAAGGAATGGATCTCCACGGAATCATGGAAACTAATAGACGAGGGGAGGAAGATGATGAAACAGAAGACAAACCAGTGCAATGCAATGCAATGCAGTGCAGTGCAAAGCAGTGCAGTGCGGTGCAGTGTAGGGATGAACAACGAAAAGAGGAACTGAACACAATATATAAAACACTACACTGGACAAAGAAGTAAAGAAGAGTGCGCACAAAGACAAAAGACACTTCCACGACACATCGGCAAGTGAAGCAGAACAGGCTCCTGGTAGGAGAGAGAGAGAGAGAGACCTGACAACACTATGTCAAATAACCAGGTTACTAGCTGGGAAGAGATCAACACACATGAAACCAATAAAAGATAGTGGAGGAAACCTGGTCACCAAAGAGGAGAAACAAAGGAAACGATGGGCTGACCACTTTAAAATACTCTTGCATCGGCCACCACCATCATCATCATCTCCAACTCGTCCAGAAATACCACCAGCAGCCCAGACACACAGCTATCAAAGAACACAAGCCCTTCAACAAAAACCGAAGTTGCTGAGATCCGAGAAAGCAGCAGGACCACATGGAATTCCTCCAGAACTACTGAAAACAGACACAGAGACATCATCGGGGGATATCCTCACACCACTATCGCAGAAGGTTTGGATGGAAAGAAGGGAAGGTACCTGCCAATTGACTGGAAGAAGGGCTACCTTGTCAAACACCCAAAGAAGGCAGACCTAAGTCTTTGCAAGAACTGGCACGGAGTCATACTCCACTCCTGTCCACAACAAGCGAGCAAAATATTAGGCCACATCATCCACGAGAGACTAAACGATGAGCCGGATTCAAAATTACGACCGGAATAGGCAGAATGGATTCAGGAAGAACAAATCATACGTAGATCAAACAGCAACACGACGCTACGCTACACATCATCATAGAACACAGCACAGAATGGCAGTCAACCGGATCTTCACCTCAACTTCATCGATTTTGAAAAGGCCTTCGACAGCGTCAACCGAGAAGTAATTCGACAGGCAGCTACTTCAACACTACGGTCTAAGTGACACAAACCTTTATCAACCTCATTCAACACCACCTATATGCTATATGATGCTACATGCCAAGTGATTGATTCACAATGGAAAGCTCAGTGACGCCTTGGAAGTGAAGACAGGAGTAAAATAAGGCTGCAGCCTACTGTCACCGATGTCTGCTTGGTTGTGGTCGACTGGACTTGACTGGATCATGCAACAAACTGTGAGGAGCGAGAAGAGGGGCATACGCTGGATGGACCAATGAAAAGACCCTAGAAGAAGATTTCAATTTCACCGATGATGATGATGATTCATGTCTAATGTCTTGTCCCACAAACTCGAAGATCTACGGGCGAAAACTAACAACTGTACAGAAGAGGCAGAGCAGGGTAGCGAAGATGGGACTCCAAGTGAACGTAAAGAAGACGGACATGATGAAGATACCCAACCAACAACAGCAGCAACAACAACAACAACAACAAACACCAATCACCATTAACCGGAGAAACCTAAAGGAATTAGTCTCTTCCAACCACCCACCTACCTAGGCAACTACAGGCGGCGGCACACACGAGGATGTCAAAAACAGGATCGGAAAAACAACAAGACAAGCCTTCCTGTATTAATCTAAAATCAGTGTGGAGATCTACTGCACTCAACTCAGCATAAAGCGTGAATAAGATCTGGATTCTCAACACCCTTGTCAGTCAAGTCAGTGCAGTGCTGCCATGTGATGGTTGAGAAATTTGACACGTCACAAAAAGCATTCCCAACAAACTACACATATTCATCAACAGCTGCCACCTACGCTCACTCGATACTGACACTGAAGATCTGATGGTCAGAATAGTAAGAATAAGCAACAAGGAACTCTGGCTAGGTGGCAACGAACCAACCAACAACCCATCACCCAACAAATATGCAGAAGGAAGTTGAGATGGATTGGGCATACATTGAGAGACTATTCGGGGACATCACGCACCAAGGTCTCGAGTGTAATCCATAGGGGAAACGACGAGTTGAGCGTCCGAGGGTGAGAGTGACATGGAGGAGATCGTGTGAGGAAGAAATGGTAGCTCGTGGTTAGTGGTGGAGTCAGGTTGAAAAGACTGCAGAGAACCGAGTTCAATGGAGGCGTGCCACTAAATCCCTTTGTTGCACTAAGAACGTATGGGACAAATTATATAGGAATAATAATGGGGTTCAGAGACATTTGAAGTTTGTTTTCATCGTGGACTGAAGTTTGTTGGAGGAATAGTGGAAACGTGGGAGCACTGGACAGCTGTTCCGTCGTAGCATGGGATTCTTCAGCAGTGCGTATCCTCGACCAGTGGGACGAACTTTGTGGACGTGGGGGCGAATACTGAACGATGATTCTGGGTGGCGGTCGCGCTATGCC